CATACTATTGAAGTAATGTGTACCTCAAAAATCATATAGTAATTGATCATCTTAACCTTGAGATGAAAGAACATGAAGAAAAAAAAGAATTTTAAGTCCAAAAAATAATGTATCTTATAACATGTTATCTAGACCGTCTATTTTCATAATTTTTAAGTATTTATTGATTTGATCGATGTGTACTATTTATTAAATTTTATAACTGAGGATAAACAGAGATGTTGAAAGCATCATAAGGTTTTCCACGCCAAAACGACATCTCTAAGTAAATTTTATTGGTGTACCATATTTCTACAGTATAAAGAGGCAACCCATATATAAACCTCACTCTTTAGATTATGACATTTTGATATTTACCCTACTTTTTTTGTCCAAGGTGAATTCTTAATGTGGGGTCATGTGTCACTAGAGACCCACAAAGGTCTGAGATGACTCGGGTGATTTCGAGTTTCTCATTTTTGTCGGTTAACTCTGCAAAAAAGTTAATTTAACAGGGATTGGTCATCAAAGAAGCCGAAAAAATAACTCCAAAAATGATGTAGGTATGTTTTCAACCTTGAATATTTGAATCAGGAATTACCAATCTAGATCATATCAAATGTCTGGGTACTCCAGGTTCTACACCCCCCCTCCCCACAACCCAAAACGAGCTTTCATTGGTTATATTGATCCATATTGTCGTTCCGGCTAATCCAACTTGCTATTGTGGGTTTGTGGATCCAAATCCAATTTATGGTTACAAAACATCAGGTCAAAATATTGGATGGCTCAATATTTGTTTTCATACCTTGTAGTGAGTAGTGAAATTAAAAATAGAGCTGGCAATGGGTTGGAAATTAAAAATAGAGCTAGCAATGGGTTGGGTTTGGGTCGGGCCAAACGTGCCACTAGCCTAGTCCTATGCCTCGAAAGGCCAGCTTAGGTATGGACTTGGCCCTATCAGAGTTAGGCTTAGCCGTGTAAAATTAAAAAAAACAATGAAAAATTAATCACAAATTATTTTGATGCTTAAAAACCTTCAAATTGATTATCTCCATGTCAAATAATGCCAATTTGTTAAGGAAGTGGTGTTGGGGCATTGGTGGCTAGGGGGATTGATGCCTCAATATAACGTCTCATTACTGTTAACATGTCAAAAAAAATATAAATAATGTGAGGGACTTCGGTGGCTTATCAAGCCACATATCCCAATCTTTTAATGATACGTTTTTTATGCGGCCAACCCGCATATGTAGAAGTGCGAGCCTCTTGATAAATCTACTTTTGAGATGGATTTTAAGACTTAATTTTTAAGAACATATAATCTCTAACATAGAGATCATTAATATAAAAAAACTAAATAAATTTTAAAAATTAAAAACGATAATTTTAATAAAAAAAATATTTAGTTCATTATTTTTAGATGAAGTACCTATTTGCATCGACCTTTAAAATGAATGCTTGATACTTTCTAAACCGCATACGTGAAAATGTGGTTTAGCGCACATGAAACAATTTTCTCTCTTAATAAGGTAGAACAAACTTTTAGGGGCATTTTCGTCTTTTACCGGCTGGCATCCCAGAATATTCCTCAAACTATAGGGACAAAATAGTAAATTCGCTCCAAACCCCATAAGCTAATCGAGTTCACCGCCACCAAGGGTAAAATGGTCATTTTCCACTCCTCTATCTAAAAGGGCATCCAAGTAATTTGCAACGTAGGATAAGGTTTTTTGGTCATTAAGGAAAGTGAACCGCTGCGTTTCCAGGAAGCGAGGGCAAGGATTTACGCGATAAGGACTCGATTTAACCACGGTTAATAAGCATTAATGGCTCGGACTTAACCACGGTTAAATCTAACCCCCGACCTGTGGTTACCGGTGGTATCGTTTTTTTAACTTTCAGATCACCACCAATGGACCGGTCTTGGACTCACTTTCCCCTCTCTCTCTCTCTACTAAAAAAACTTCTCGCTCTTCGTTGTCTCCCTCTTTCTCTCTCTAGTTTCAGAGCTTGACAGGAGCTTCAATGGCGAAACCTCTGAGGGAAGTTCCAAATCCAAGGCAAGTTAGGGCGCTCCATGGATTTCCTTTCATCTCTTTCTCTCTCTCTTCACTCCTTTTTGCTTCTGTGATTTATTGCAATGTGTATTTGTTTGAGAAGCTCCGAATCAAAGGCAATTTTGAGAACTCCATGGATTTCCTTTAATTTTATTTCCTTTAATTTTGGTCTCCTCTTTGTCTCTGTGTTTTTCCTCTCTCTCTCTACTGATTTCATACACTGCGTATTTGGGAAGCTCCTATCTATAGCAAGTGTGAGCGCTCCATGGATTTCATTTCATTTCTCACTCCATTTGCTCTCTGTTTTTTTGCTCTCTCTCGCTCCTTTTGATTTTTCAAATTTCACAGACACTTTGTGCTTCTTTCTTATCTCCTTCATTTCTCACTCTATTGATTCCATCACTTCAACACTTCGTTTGTCGTTTTCACTCAATTTCCTTGTTTCTGGTCTCTTTCTCTCTCCTTTCTTTCACTGAATTCCTCAGCTCTATTTCTTTATTTTCGATTTCCTTTGCTCGATTCCGTGTTCTTAATTTTCTTCGTGCTCTACACATCTCTATTTGATTTCCTTCATTCGATGTTGTTCTCTTTTTTATTCTGTTCCGTCTCTGTTTCTTTCTTTTTCTGTCTGCTGTTATGTCACTTGGTTTCCTTTTTCCTATGTACTGTTTCCTATATTTCTTTCCTTTTTTGCTCGATTTTTAATTTTTATGTACCTTTTTTTCTCTTTGATCTCTCTCTGTGTCAGTTTAAGGGTAGATATGGTGGAGAAGTGTTCATTTCCATTGATTTTCAGGTGATATCTGTTTTTTTTTTCTGACACTGTAAAAGCTTAGGACTTTCAAATTTTTATTATTACAATGGGATTTTTTTTGAAAAAAGGGAAACACTTTATTAGAAGGTGAAGTATTTTTCTTTTCTTTTCTTTTTCTAAGTTTTAATGATTTCTATTATGTTTCCTCTCTTATTATTTCTCAGTTTTTTTTTTTAAAAAAAATGGTTTCAAAGCATATGACTCCCGATATCCAGCAAAGGACTGGAATTTTCCAGAGAAGATCGGACCTTTTATGGCTCTCTATCTCTTATTGTTGCTGGGGATAGTCTCTCTCTCTCTCTCTTTATCTTATTTTGGGATCTTTCTCTTTCAGTGAAGGTAAATTTTATCACGTTTTTCTGGGGATATTATGACATAATCTGGAGCTTTTAATTCACTCTTCGCATTACTTCTCGCGTTTAGGTGTCAGATTTTCTGTTTTTTCAGTGAAGTCAATTTTATTCGAGCATTTTAGGCGGATATGTGACATTCTTTGTTTCTTTCTCCTCTTCAAATATCATGGTTCATGGTTTTCTCTCTCTATCCATTGCCGGTCATAATCTCTCTCTGTCTCTCATTCATTTGGGGATCTTTCAGTGAAGATAGCATTTTTGCCTCTTTTGGATATCTAGACATAATCCAGACCTTTTAATTCACTCCTCACATTTCTCCCCTCCTCTCTCTCTCTCTAGGTGTCAGATTTTCCAATATTTCAGTGAAGATCAATTTTGGAGAATTTTTCTGGATTTTGGACATCTTTGTATCTCTCTCCTCTTTAAACATTTTCTTACGTGGTTTAAGGATCCATTGGTTCTGCAAATTTCTCGGACTTTGTCGGAAATCTGGCATTTTCTTTTAGTTGCTAATTATTACTTAGTCTATGAAGAAGTGTTCTATGTCTGGTTTTTTTTTTTTCTCTTTTACGTTTATGAGTCTTTATTTTTTTGGATAAAGATTCAAGTTTCCGGTGTATTCATAACTTTTCTGGCCAATCTTTGACGGAATCTGGCACATTTTCCAGGGCTTTGGTTTATTTGGTTTTTTCTTTCAGCTTCTTTAGGGGAATAATAAGAAAAAATAGTAAATTTGATTTTGAAACGGGTGACGTTTTTATTCATATTAGCATTTGAGACCAAGTTATTAAAATTGAAAAAAAAAAAAGAAAAGAAAAGAAAAAAAAAAAGGAAGCATTATGACCGGTTTCTATCTCTTTTGAATTTCTTGTAAAAATATTATTTTTCTTATGCCTTCTTACTAATAATTACATAATCTTCTGTTTTTCTAGTGACTTTTCTTGTCTTTTAAGACTATTTGTTGGTATTCCCTGCACAAGTTTTAAGTGAAATTCAGGTCCCTTTTTTAGATTCATGAAAAAAAATAGGTTTTTTCTTAGGTTTTGTTGGTTTTATGCAAGCATTATGGCTCTTCCTTAGGGTTTTGTTGTTTCAAGCAAAGACTGAAGGCTTTCTCTTTCGAATTTTGTGTAAAAGTTTAGGCTTTTCCTTGGGCTTATGCTATTCCATGAGAAGTTTAGGCCTTCCATTATGGTGCAGCGGTTTCATGCCCAAAAAAAAAAAAGTCTGTTTTTTTTTTTTTTTTGAGATCCCATAAGATTTCTCGTGTTTTTTTTTTTCTTTTTCAAAAATTTCTATATTTTTGTTTAATGGAACTTCTGAAAATGCATTTATAGCTGTTTAGTATATAGATCTATTGTTGTACTTGACAGATAAGGAAGAAATTTGTGTGCTTAGTCTCTTTTAATTACACATGCCATTTTTTTCCTGCCAAGATTCTGCGGAAAGTACATGTTGATGACAAAAAGTTAAGATCTATAAGAATCTGGTATAAAGTCATCCAAGTACCAAAAAGAATACTCAAATTGAAGGAAATAAGAGGAGAAATGATTAAAAAAGAAAAGGATCCTTTGGGTCTTTAGTGAGAAACATGGTTTTCATGCTAAAAGGTTGCGGAGTAGAAGAAATGCAAAACCCGCTCTTTGACAACTATTTACGTTCTTTTTTTTTTTTGCTTTGTATTTTTCGTGGTATTCATAAGTTGTTCTTTTTCTATTTTATAATTTAAGTAACATAATTCTTTGTCTTTTTCTAAATTTGGCTGTCCTGTTTGTTTTCCTGTGATTGCAGTGTGGATTCATTACTGAGCTGAGATTATGTCTTCTACCCCTTAAACCAGAGGCTCTTGTTAAGATCTCTCACCAATCATAGCATCTCCTCATCAAACCCAGATTGAAAGCAAGGCTTTCTCAATCCAAATTCCCCCCCTTCTAAAGGAGAAAATTGGTGGTGACTTGTAATATTTACTTGTTGCAATAATTCCAAATTTCCTCTAGTGCTTAGTAGAGATCTACTTGTTGCAATTGTTACCTACAAATTTAGAAAGAGAAGCACTCTTCTCATTATATATCAAGTGGGAGTTGGTTGCCATTGCTTGTCCCATTACTGAAGGTAAAGAGAGAAGCACAGTATTCTCTTCGCATCTGAAGAAGTACTTTTCATTGCTGTGTTTCTATGGGGATTTACGAGGAGATGGGTTTTCCCTGCAATTTCGACATAATGCCCCAACCCACCGAGGTCGATCCAACGGTCGAGAACGAGGGGGAGGCGGCTATGATCCAAGATGATGATGATAGCGAGGATGAGATGATCGACGTTGATGAGCTTGAGAGGAGAATGTGGCGTGACAAACTGAGGCTCCGTCGCCTCAAAGAGCAAAGCAAAGGCAAAGAGGCCATGGGTGGCGACCTGGCCAAGCAAAGGCAATCGCAGGAGCAAGCTCGGAGGAAGAAAATGTCGAGAGCCCAAGATGGTATCCTCAAATACATGCTGAAAATGATGGAGGTTTGCAAAGCTCAAGGCTTCGTCTATGGCATAATACCCGAGAAGGGTAAACCAGTGAGTGGGGCCTCTGATAACCTTCGAGCTTGGTGGAAGGAGAAAGTGAGATTTGATCGGAATGGGCCAGCCGCCATTGCCAAGTACCAAGCTGACAACGCAATCCCTGGCATAAGTGATGAGAATTCGGGTATGGCTTCTACCCCACATACTTTGCAAGAGCTCCAAGATACTACATTGGGCTCTTTGTTGTCAGCTCTTATGCAACACTGTGACCCTCCACAAAGGAGGTACCCATTAGAGAAAGGAATTGCTCCTCCATGGTGGCCTACTGGTAATGAGGAATGGTGGCCTCAATTGGGGCTCCCTAAAGGTCAGGGTCCCCCACCTTACAAGAAGCCCCATGATCTCAAGAAAGCATGGAAAGTTAGTGTCTTGACTGCTGTTATCAAGCACATGTCTCCTGATATTGCAAAGATAAGGAAGCTAGTGAGGCAATCAAAGTGTTTGCAAGATAAGATGACTGCAAAAGAGAGTGCGACTTGGCTCGCTGTCGTGAACCAAGAGGAGGCTCTCTCACGCCAACAAAACCCAGATGCTTGTCCCCCTTCTTCCTCCTCTAATGGAATGGGGCTCTCACTTTTAGCAGCACCAGTGAGTACGATGTCGAGGGCTTTGATGATGAAGCGACAATGGAGGTTCAAGAGATCAAACCTGATGTTGATCTATTCAACTTGGGTATGGGGAAAGAGAGGCTCTTGCCTCCTATCAAGAGCGAAACCGCTGATTTCGTGCGAAAGAGGAAGCTCCCGACTGAGGTAATTGTTGTGGATCAGAAGATATACACATGTGACAATGTTCAATGCCCGTCGCATCAGTATCAGTTGGGTTTTTTGGACAAAAATTCGAAGAACAATCATCAGTCTAATTGTCCATTTGCTTCGGAGATCCATCAAGGGATGGGGCTTCCATTGCCTAGGCCTGATATTGGCAAGGAAAAACCAGTTTTCCCTCTCCCCAACTTCACTCAACCCCTGCAAGCAATGAGTGGAAATGGAAATGGGTTTTTGGGGAATGACAGTAACAAGTTTTTGACTGGGAATGATGGCAGTAACAACATGACAGCCATGACTCCAGCCATTGTCAACAACTCTGATGATTTACCTGATCTGGGTCTTCCTTTGGATGGCCAGAAAAGGATAAAAGACATCCTTGATTCCTATAACTTCAACCCTTCTTTGCAGCCAAACAGGAACAACCCAAATCATGGTACAGGCATGGAGATCCATAATCAGAGGACCCTTATCGATATAAACATGGATCTCGTGAATCCACCTATTAATGGATTCAGGCCTGCAAATGAAGAGAACATGTTTGGGCATGGAGCTATGATGGGAGGTAACCACAATGGCTTCGATATCTACTTCAGAGACGATCTGCCTCTGGATCCATGTAAGGTGTTTGATCAGGGTTATGAGCAGAACTCGCACGATGTGAATGCTGAATTCAAGTTCGGGGCCCCTTATAACGTGGGAATGGATTTTGGCATTCCTTTTATGAAAACTCCAGAGGCGTTGCGGAAGCCAGAGGCGCCGATCTGGTATTTTACAGGGCCATGAAATTGGCTTGATCCTTCAACAAGGACTTCCTCTGTGATTTAAGGAAGGGCTTCCCTTGCGTTTGGGGAACATACTTTGTTGCAGTTGGGGTTTACATATTAGGACTCCCTTCTTGTTGGGGTTTACAATATCGTTAGGTTGAGTTTCTCTCTCTCTTTCTCTCTCTCTCTCTGCGTGTTTGTGTGTGGTTTTGTTTTCGGTGGGAGGGTTGGGGTTGGGGTTGGGAGTCTACGTATCAGGACTCTCATGGCAGTCGCATCATTATAATTCACTAGTAAGGGGCTTTCTTTGTGTGGGTCTGTGTTCCTCTCTCTCTCTCTCTTCAGTTCGGAGTCCTGCATACTGGGACTCTCATGGGTTGGTGTTTGCACGTCATTAGATTTCATTAGTAGTGGGTCTTCTCTTCGCCTGTGTGTGCGTGTGTTAGTCTGCTATCAGGGATTAAAATCAGGACCCTCGGGCTGTAGGGGTTTTAAATGTCAGTAGATCTCTCTCTCTCTTTGCCTTTGGGGTGGACATAACTTTACTCTCTTGTAGTTTGGGTTAACATATCTTTAGATTTCATTAGTAGTGACTCCTCTCTCTCCCTCTCTCCCTCCCTCTCTGTGCCTGCCATTGGGATTGAAATATTAGGACTCTCCTGCAGTTGGGGTTTACACATCATTAGATTTCAGTAGTAGGGGAGCTTCTCTCTCTCCCTCTCTCTGGTGTTTTTATGGAGGGGGTTGCCATTAACTGGCCTGGTTAACTTATGATAGATGTTGTTTCCATTCCCTTTATATATTGATATTTAAAAAATTTGGGGTCTCTCTCTCACTCTCTCTACCGTCTTTGTACATATAGGACTCTCTGGTCTCTCCTGAATTGGCTCCTCTCTCTCTCACTCTGCACTCTGTTAGGGATTTGGGTCTCTCTCTCTCTAGAAATTGGGTCTCTCTCTGGGGCAAGTGGGTCACCTTTTCTAGGATTTATGGTGCTGGATCCAATTAGGAAACAAGGAGGAAGAAGGATTCTAGCTGATAAGCCCACTGTTCTTTGAACTTTATTTGCGGTTGTAGCAATAAAACGTATAATATAAATTTTCTTTTTCTCTCTCTTTCTCTGTCTTCATTCATTCTCTCTCTCAGTCTTCATGAGCTTCAGATACAATTGAATATGGATGTCCTTTGATGAATACATTTGTACCTTAGACCTGATGTATGCTCTCAAGTTTTTGAGAATTTGAAGTCAGATGTTTGTGTTGAGAAAGTTCTATCATCTTAGTCATTATTTTTCTTTACCAAAACACACACTCTCTCTCTCTACCCACCAATAACTGCTAGTTTCTCTCTCTACCAATAACTGCTAGTTTCTCTCTCATATTCATTTATTGTCCTTTTTACTGTGTTTTTATAATCAGTTTGGTTTGCACGTGATCAATATATAAATATTGAAGATAGATTCCCTCATATCGTTAATCTTTTCGGTCATTGTTTCTAGGAAAAAGTTTATCTAAAGTTAGAACTATGGATGCACCTCAAAAATTTATTGGAAAAGGTAGTTTTAACGTTGAAAAATCATCTCGAACATCTGACCATGAAAAATAAAAAGATTTTAAATCTAAAAGATAGTACATTTTACAAAATATTATTTACATTGTCAAATCTCAAGATTTTTATATAGATTTACTTGATTTTAATTATTTTTTAAATTTAAAATTTTATAATTAGATATAAAATTAGATTTTGAGATAATATTAAGAATAGTTTACATCAAAATTATATACCATGATAAAATTTGAAGGTACATTTTACCTCTACAGCTACGGATGCATCCGTATGCCAATTGCACCGTTGTTTCTATTTGCTGTTTGATTATTGGGGTTGGTTTTTTGCACATGTTTTATATGAAAATTTAAACTTCATATTATTATATTCTATTCAAGAGAAATATTTTAGCAAATAAGGGCTTTAAACTTCAGATTATTATATTCTATTCAAATATTCTATTCAAGAGAAATATTTTAGCAAATAAGGGCTTAGTGGTTAACAGAAATGGTTGATCAAGAAACAAACAATAATAAAAAATACTAATAACAAAATGGAGATGGGAGCTTGAAATTGTGAGAGTAGTTTGGATGTGACGGGTCAAGAATAAAAGAAGAGGGAAAAATCATTTTAAAGGTCTGGGTAGGTTTTAAAGAGGAATTTAGTTAAAAGGAAAATGGTTTGATAGGGCTGTAGCTCTATCAAAATAAATAAATCTTCCCCTTATACAAGTTCAAGCATTGGAAAACCTCTACATTCATCATCTCTACTTGAACATTATGGTTATGTAAAAAATATTTAAATTTCAAGATCTAAATATTGTTATGGTAACAAATTATTTAGGCTGTTCATTTTACTCTAAAAATAAGTGTTTTCATAACCGTAATATCTGTATGATATTTTTTAGTTTCAAAATTTATTATCGTCTTGAAAAATTGATTTTAAAGCCTATAGTAGAGATTTTTAGGATTTGAGGTGAAGTTTTTTATTTTGTTTTCACAAAACCCAGGTCTTATAAAAACCTCATCATATTGAAGGGGCAGATATTTGAAGACACTTGGATCATTGAGATAGGTTAAAGGGAAGATGTCCCACAAACTGATGGATAGCTGTCCTCTGTAATTATAGCGAATAATGGAACTGTACAACTTCCAATTCTTAGAAAGTGATCTCAGGCTTCTTGAGTTCTGACTCCTAACATCCCTCCCTCTCTCTCTCTCTCTCTCTCTCTCTCACACTAGACATTTGAGCTCTCTCTCTCTCTCTCTAGATAGACATTTGAGCTCTCTCTCTCTCAAGAAAAGAGGCTTTTCATTAAAAGAAGGCTTTTTGAGTTCTCTCTCTCTCTCAAAGGAGACGTTTGAGCTCGCTCTTTCTCCCACACAAAAAAAAGGGCTTTTGAGGGAAAAAAGGGCTTTTAAGGGAAAAAATGGCTTTTGAGTTCTCTCTCTCAAAAAGAGACATTTCATCTCTCTCTCTCAAAAAAAAAAAAAAGAGGAAACATTGCTTTTGAAATCACTCTCTCGAAAGAGACATTTGAGCTTGTTGGCTAGCTCTCTAAAAATTGGCTCTTAACACTTATCTTTCTTTCAAAAAAAGAAAAAAAAAAAAAAAAAAGCAAGCTTTTTATGCTTCTCCTACCACATAAAATTTATATTCTTCCTCTTATCTAACTGTCCATTTTAATGGAGGACTAAAATTGTTCCTCTTATCTAACCGTCTATTTTGATGGAGGGCTAAAATTATTCCAATCACAATGTCACGTCTCTAAACTATTTTTATTTTTTTCTATTAACTATTTTAACACCAAATTTTGTGCGTCCAACCCTCTATTAAACTCGCACTAGAGAAAAATATAAAAAAAATAAGATTTTCAATAATATAAAATGATCAAAATACCTTTAAGAGTTTCAAAAGGTATTTTGATCATTATATCTTATCGAAAAATTACATTTAATATTTTTATAGGCGCGTGCCCCAATGAATGGATAACATGTACCCAATTTCATATTCATACAATTTTTATAAAAAAGTAAAAAAATAAAATAATTTAAAACATCATATCTAAGATAAAAAAGTGAGTGACTCACTTGATCAAAATTGGACAGCTGGATGGTAAGAGAAAGGGAAGTACAAAAACCTTTCCCAAAAAAAAAAAAAGTAATGATCTTGAGCTCTCTCTCTATAAAGAAAGTTTTTTAGACCTATCCTCTCTCTCGCCCTTTTTGTCTTGGGAAAAGACTTTTTTGAACCCGACCGTCTCTCTCACTAGTTCGGCAAAGGGGAAGCGATAAAAGTTTCTGGTTTGATAAGAGAAATAGCATGTCATGACTTTACCTCTCTCAAAATCAAAATCAAACGTATCAATCAAAAAAGTATGACAGCATCCAGAATCATGTAATCTTCGATCAAGATGCCTTTTTTTTTTTTTCTTTGTCCTTGTCTATGTTGGTCTTTTCTCTTAAATATCTTGAACTACGTTATCTGATGAAATTTATCCCTGCTCTTAATCAGCCCAAAAACCATCTCTCTCTCTCTCCCTTGAACAACCTTAAACTAAATTATCTAATGAATTTTTTTTTTTCACAATTATCTAATGAAAATTATCACTGCACTTAATCAACCCAAAAACCGTCTCTCTCTCTCTCTCTAAAATGCCATATTTATCAATTTGGTCTATGTTAATGTTTTATCTTTTCCCTTAAAGAAGAAAAAGTTTATCTAGAGCTAAGCTTCTAAACAATCAAATTAGAGCCCACCTAAAACCTTTTACTAGAAAAGATTGTTTTGATGTCCAAATATCCTCAAATTGATCATCTCAACATCAAGATGTATGAACATAAGAAAAAAATAGATTTCAAGTTTTAGAAATAATGCATCTTGCAATGTATTTTTGAATCGTCAATTTGCAAGATTTTTAAGTTTTTCATATATATGCTTGACCTACACTATTTTTTAAGCTTTACATTTTGTAATTAAAGATGAAAATATATTTTAAAGCTACTACAAAGATTTTCAATATGGAAACCACATTTGTTTTTGACAATGAAAGCATGCTTTAGTTTGATTGTTTAGAGCCTCGGTTCTGTACAAACTGCACCCCTAAACTAAGTTATCTAATCAACTTTATCCTACTCGAAAACCATTTCCTCTCTCTCTCAATTACTCAAAAAACCATTTCCTCTCTTCTCTAAGCTTGAAACATGACATCTCTCTCTCTCTCTAGCAAAGCTTGAAACATGACATCTCTCTCTCTCTAGCAAAGCTTGGAACATGACATCTCTCTCTCTCTAGCAAAGCTTGAAACATGACATCTCTCTCTCACACACACACACCCACAAACACACAGTTCACATTCATCTCTCTCTCACACACACATACACCCGCAAACACAGTTCACTGCACATTTCACAACTACAAAGCCCAGAATTGAGCCAATATCAAGAAAAACAAATTCCTCAATTATCCTTGCAAATATGAAAAAAATTTCAGCCAAATCCATGATCATATTTTAAATCTATACAGGGTTGAATAACAAAAATATAAAGAATTACTTTCTTTTCTTTTATTTCTTATTTTATATCAAAACCAAAACGGTTTTTCTTTTATAGAACATGAACCTTTTGTGTTCATTTCTAAACTTCGCAAAGAATTCAAAAATTACATCAATATCGAAGATCTTTGTTTCTTTCTCAGAAGAAACCGCAAAAAATGCACAAAAAAGAGATAATTGGTAATTTCGCTCATCTTTTGATCAATAGGAAAAACAAAACAAAAGAAAATAAGTAATTTTACCTCTGTAACTTGTGCGCCCATCTTAATTAAATCTTCGTATAATGTTGTATACTCAGTATGTTATTTTGTATATTTCAAAAAACAAATCCACCAATTTCGCATTTAATACCTGAAAAATGGAAGACCCAAAAAAATCTATAATCAAATAAAGGGTGTAATTCAATATGGCACCAAAGTTAAGAACATAACATGATTTTCAATACAATTTAAAGGGCATATGGGATTGTATACTAGGAGACCCATTTATTTTTGGTACATGGAGGTCACAATCACAATTAGTCATTAGATGTGAAATCCAATATATTAAAGTGTGTTACAACAATCGAGAAATTTGTGCCTAAGCATTGACACATCTTCAACCACCCCATTTTAGTCAATGATGATTATGCCTCCTTGATCAAAAGTAAATGGTCCCATTGTATACATTTCCTTATGAAGTTCTTCTTTTGAACAATGAATGGAAGTCAAAGAGTTGTATATGAAAGATGGGAAATGAAAATTCCCCAAAGAGTAGAGAAGGAGCCATATAATAAAAATGGGAAATACAAATTCTCAATTGACCTTGAGTGAGACAGAGTATGATGTAGTGAAGTCCTTGGGTAAATGGTGTGATAGTGTATGATGTAGTGAAGTCCTTGTGTAGATGGTGTGATAGAGTATGATGTAGTTAAATCCTTGTGTAAATGGTGTGGTTAAGAGAGTTCTGTATAGATTTCCCATTGTAGAAATTGTACTATAGAATGACTAGCTACCTTTGTAAAATTTTCTCATAAATTAATACAACAGCTGGGTTTCCCATGCAACCCCCGTGAGCTTAACAATAAATTTTTTTTCAACAATATGCAGATTCCAAAACAGGCATAACACTGTCATTTTGTGAATTCAGTATCCCATGCATGGGCACATGTGCTAAATAAAGCACATGAGTGAGCAAAGCACACAGGTTTTGGTCCATCATGGAAAATCTCCCTCTGCCTGCGCACACACAGGCATAAATGGGGTTCGAGTGCATGCATAAACACGCACAAATGAGCTCTCACATGTGTGTGGCTTGTTCAAGTAGTAAGAGAATACTTACAAAGTCAAGTTCTTGAGGGCATAGTATCTAGGAGAGGGACACAAGAGCTCTTCTGAATCAAGTCTAGAAGGGGCAGAGATGAGCAAGCTTCTCTGTGATCTGAGATCAGACACCTCAACGTCTACCGTGAATACCGCACACACTGGCCTGTGGTCAGAGAAGCGAGACTCACAACGAACATACGACAACTGTCCTATCCCATCACCATGCCATAAAATCCTATCACACCTGAAGCAAGGGGAAAAGCATTCCTTCAACTGGAGCAATAAGAGGAAAAGTCTACAATAAGACCACTTGCCTTTAGTATGAAAAAGTCACAATCACTCCTAGCTGCTAGCTGTGACATAGGTAGCTAGGGGTGTACCATCGACCGTGCCCAAAATTTGAGAAATTTTTTCTGTGACTTTGTGCAGAGAAATGACATTCCAGCCATCCAGCTTTATATCTGAGAGCTTAGGGTGTTTGTGACCTTTGTTTGTGAAAGGGAATGGTCTTATTTTTATACTTCACTCAAAACAAATAATAGTCCATTGAAACTTGCTTTTAAGATTAGTATTGCTGACAAGTTAGAGTAGAATCCGCAACATCTGCTATGATAAATATGGATACACCAACAATAAATATTACATCTCAACATGGTATATAATTTAGGGATGGTATAAAATAAGATCATTACTTATCATATACAATGGACACAAATACCTAAATCCATATGTGTAAAATCACATGTCTGGAGCGTCTCATTTCTTCACACAAAGTTCGAGGAATTTTTTTTTTTTGTTTTTTTTTTGCACTTTCAGCATGTTCAATGGATGGTATGCACCCAGCCTCCCAAATACAGTGGGGAATGTGACCTTTATGTAAGGTAAACAGTCTTGTTTTAGTAATTGCTTTACTAGAGAATATGACCATAATGGTGAACCCCATTCTCTCCATCACCATCCATCATTACACACTGATGAGACTGTCGCTTATGGGCACACCATAATTCACTGGATCTTCATAACTAGATTGCTTTACTTATTTCTCTTCTCTCTTCTACAACACTCAAACCTTGACGCTTCAACTCAACCAAAAATTATAGAACATACCATGCAGGAGTTCTTCGCTTTTTCTTTGAAATCAAAGTTTCTCCAAAGTAAGCATCAGAATTGTTTGAGTACTTGTAAGTGGGAGCAAAGAAGATTTTCCCCTCCTTCCATCCCTTGAAAACTCGCCCAGCTTCTCGCTCAATCTTGAGCTATCATAAAACCAAGGGCTCAGTCATGAGTACATAAAGTAATCAAAGATCAAGAGAAACAACTGAATATGCTGTCGTTTAGACATTTCAATAGGCATATCTACATGATTTATTTGAATTTTAGAATTTCTTGAGACACAAACAGCAAATAGTAACAAGGAGAAAGTAGCAAATAATTATTCCGAATTATGTTTCATGTATTAATTCATGAATGATGCACAGGCACTACTCGGTATGTGGTCATCACTTTTGGATACAAGTAGCAATTACTCTTCCACAACGGTTACCATGCAAGAAACATGGTGCACCTGGAGCGCTTAAGCCACCAGTCACTCAAGGATATCTGATGAACTCTAGGATCCTGCTAGCTAATTATAGATGTCCTAGACTTGCTCTCTAAATGGTCATGCATGGTTGGTTAGCTCATTTTAGGATATTCAGTAGCACAATCTATTGACAAGCTACAATTCTAGCATAGAAAGTACAGGCGCATCAGTTCAGAATGTGCAAGGCCCAAATAGTGTTAGGAAAGGTAAAAACCTCATTTGAAGCCCCCGTTTGACTGCCCAAGTATACTGATTGAGAAGAAAAAGAGAAGTACAAGAGAACTCCTATAATGCGAACCTTTTGAAGCTAAATGTATCTTGAAAGCAAACATGTGTAAAGATTTTGGGGATGAATGAAAAACTCTCATATGTTTCATTTCATCACTAAGAGGATACATAAAGGAGCCCTCATTATAGATAATGTACAATAGAACCTTTGAAAATGAAATGCCAAACAATAGCATATACATATTTACATCAAATGTATTTTATAAATATCATTACACTACTCCTCAAGCTGAGTGGTCACATGGAAAGCTTGTCTATCTTAATATTTGCAAATTGATTTGAAAAGTGTACATGCTTTACAGAAATTTAATTATCACAAACCATATCTCTTATGTAGTCATGATCAACACACAAATGTATGATCTTCCCATGTTTTACTGAAATATTAGACATCTTGATGCCATTTTTGTTATCACAATACACACTGGCTGGCTTCTTTAAATAGATACTCATTTCTGAGAATATGCACGTTGGCTCACTTCTTTAAATGGATACTCATTCCTGAGAATATATGGGATGACCTTGTAACTTCTAAAGTTGCACTAGATATAGATCTACACTCTACTTCAGGAATTGATTTAGCCATATTTTTTTGCTTTTCTTGACTACATGATACAAGATTCTTCCTAAGAATATACAAAAGGCCTCAAATGATCTTCCATCATCAAGAGAGCTTGCCCAATGAGTATCAGAAAAAGTTGTTGATTTTAGTCCACCTTGTGAGACAAAGGACAACCGGTGCTTGGTGTTCCATTGACATGTGTCAATATTCTCTTTGCAGCCCCAATATGTGGCTTTCTTCCATAAATTGGCATACTTATTGATTGCATGAGCAATGAAGGTCAAGTATTGAAAACCTCCAACTAAACTTCCATAGAGTAGAATTTGGAAGTATCTCCCCTTGTGTGGCTAGGAGTGTTGGATTTACTTGAGCTGGGTTTCCCATTAGTTTGCGGTCCAACATGCAAATTTCACAAGCAATTCTATTGCACATTTTGTTGAGATAGAACCAAACTTGAGAATTTATGCACTTTCTAAGATCTTAACCTTCCAAGGTCCCTCATGTAACTTTGTTTTTAGTTTCACATATCCAACTTCTTAATCATCATGTCATCAACCTATAAGAGTATGAGGTTTATATGTGATCACCATTTGTTGATGAAGGGAGAATTATGCTCAGAACTTTGAATGAACCCCTCTGTTTTGATGACTTAGGGATTTATCAGACCAAGCTCTTAGAGCTTGTTTAGTTCCATTTTTTTTTTTCTTGGTCCACATACGTGGTGGGTAATTTGTTATCAACAAAATCAACAGGTCGTGACATATAGACTACTTCCATTAATGTTTCATGCATAAATGCATGTTTGACATCCATATGGTTGAGCTCCCATACATTTATGGCCACCACAACAATAGCAGCCCTTATGGTTGCAGTTTTGATTATAAAACTAAAAACGTTTGTTGTAGTGTGTAATCCATACTATCCTTGGGTTACCAAAGCGTGCAGTGAATCTTTCTACACTTCCATCTTGTTTAACTTTTATTTTATAAACCAATACAGAATCCACATATTTATTTGGACATACTAGAACTAGCTCCCATGTTTCATTTCGTTATATGGCATCAATTTCTTCCTCCATAGCATTCCCCAATTGCTGATCTTAAATTGCTAATTTGTCTAACATGAGTTCTTATACTCTTAATGCCTATCATAAAATTCCATCATCATCATCTGTATCTTATCCTAACTATTTGGGTCGGCTACACGAACCTATTCCATTATTCCACTCTATCAAGGGTCATACCCTTAGTCAGACCGTAAGCCAGCATATTTCTTTTCACTACTTCCATCCATATCCTTTTGGGCCTTCCCCTTGCCCTCTTAGAGCCTTTCACTTAAACCAAATTGCCCCTCCGAATCGGTGATGTTCTAGGTTAATTGAGTCACCCCTAAGTCCACTTTCTAATCATCTTATCGCCTAATTGAGTCACCCCTAAGTTCCCTCGGATGTATTCATTACAAATTCTATCCTTGCTTATCTTGTCACTCATCCATGACAACATCATCATCTCAGCTACACTCATTATATGGATAACATGATTATAAGAGAAATTAGCAAAGGAGACATATCAATCCACTGGATAACATCAACTAAGGTGTCGAGTATGATCTGAGCTCGTGAGGCAGACAAGTGAAGAAGGCATTGATGTGGAGATGCAAGGAGTTGGTATATTGTTGTCTAAGGTAGGTTCTTGTCTGACATCTTGACTCCCTTATATATGACCCTTTGATATATAAATCGAATAGGAGTAGGACTAGGATGTCTCTTCGGTGGTGCATGGCTTGCACTAGTAGAAACCATTGAGGCATCAAAATCAGACCTCTTTGGTGGTGAGGTGCTTGCCTTCATTGGGATATGGCTGCGGTATATGTCTCTACAATAGGAAGAGGTTAAAGAGGTTCTGGTACTCATCTTTCCATATTCTCCCCTTGCACATGAGCCTCTACATGTTGAAATCAATCATTCAATAAGAAATAAGTCCAAGTTAGTATCAACAAAATAGTATGGATCCCTTGCACAAGAGCCTCTACATTTTGAAATCAATCATTAAAAAAGAAATAAGTCCAAATTAGTATCAACAAAATAGTATGGATTAGCCTCATCAAAGGTAACATGGCGCAAAGAAATCAATTAGGAAATATAACATCTGTAAGCGTTCATTATCATCATTAAAATCCTTTTCCCAACTAATTGGGGTCGGGAACATGAATCCTATTCGGACATTCTGCTCGGCCCATACCCTCAGTGAGGCTATAAGTCCCCATATCTTCTCTCACTACTTCCAACCATGTCCTTTTGGGCCTACCCCTTGCCTTTTTTTAGCATTCCACTTGAACTAACTGGTACCTTGTAATAGGTGTTGTAATAGGTATGCACCATACATCACCTGCCTACTTAAGTCTACTTTCTCTCATCTTATCGCCTATTAGTGCCACACCTAAATTCTCCCGAATGTGCTCATTTTTTATTTTATCCCTTCTTGTCTTGTCACTCATCCATCTCAATATCCTTGTCTCTCCATTATTTTTGGTATTTCTTAGCTGTCAATCTTAACTACCTTCCGCGTCTCTACTCCTATTATTAAACTTGCATTCAATTTACTATGTCTTAGTTCAGTTAATTTTAAAACATTTAAATTCTAAAGCATTCTTTCGAAGTTCTAACATTGTGTTGACATTATTTTGGGTCTCATCTGTTAGAGAAAATTGTGTCTCCAAATATTTACAAAATAAGGGCCCAAAAAATTTAATTTACTTATTTACTTTTCTACCCTACTTAATCCTAATTAAAATATATTTTAAGATAAGCTAGTGCTTTGTGTAGAGAATAAGAAAGACTCATGTGAAGAGAGGGACAAGTGGCTGTTGAAAGGCAACACTTGTCATTTCACTCTACATGTGTCTCTCTATTTTTTCCTTTTTTGTAGCTATATTTATGAAAATGGGTTTTGGGAAGCTGAGCACTAAGCACGAGCTCTCTTTATCTCCCTAAAACCTCTTGCTCTCCCTAAAACCTCTTTCTCTCTCTTATGCTTCCTTGTGAGCTAGGTACAAAGGACGTGCCTCCTATCTCTGTGAGAGCCCTCTAGTGTCACAGGATCAATTCCAACACCGTGTTGCATCTCGAAGAAGTTTTTTCTCTTTAGATTATTTGTTAACAACTATTTTGTAGGAAACTTGTGTTCTATTTTGTGCTATATATTGCTGAAAACTCATTTTCAGCCACATTCTCTCTCTAGAAAAGCTATCAAACTGTGCCTACAAATTCATACGAATTTGGTGAGTTTGTTCCAACTTTCTTCTTCATCTTTTGCATCTATAAATACTACAAGAACGTTGGGAAATATTGTTTGAGGAAGGAAAAAGGTATTGGGCATTGCCTTTTATTGTTGGAATAGTTTATGATGGGTTTTTGATGAGTGCATGCTTGCTGGAAATTCTATTGGGATTGCTTAGAAGAGCTTATCAATAGTTGCAATTGATTTTTGGTTGAGATTCTTTAGTGGGTTACAAAGTTAGTGATATTTGTACATCCTCTTGAGTTCCAAATAATTTACAGCAACTTTTTGTGGGTATTTTGATAAGAGTTGCATGCCATATGTTTGTGGATATTTTTTATTGAGTTCAAAACCCATCTTGCATGTTGATATAGCTCTATTTACTTCTGGAAATCTTAAAGATCCACTGGATTTGGGCTTACATCATCAATCAAACTTATGTCATCCGAAAACAACATGCACCACAACACCTCATCTTGTAGGTGCCTAACAAAAATTTCATAACTAAGACAAAGAGGTAGGGGCTCAATGTTGTCCCTGATATAGATCTAGGGTTACTGAAAAATCACTCGTCTCGCCACTAGTTGTTTGTATACTAGTTAGTGCTCCCTTGTACATCTCTCACCAAGTCGATGTAGTGCCTTGAGACTCATTTCTTTTCCAACACCCACCAAATCAAACATCTAGGTACTTTATCATAAGCTTTCTCTAGATCAATAAAAACCATGTAGAGGTCTTTTCCCTTCTCCCTAAACTTCTCAATCAGTTGTCTAAGTAGGAAAATAGCCTCGGTTGTTGACCTCCCTAGCACAAAACTGAATTGGTTTTTTGATACACTCGTTTCATGCCTTAATCGTTGCTCAGTCACTCTCTCCCACAACTTCATAGTGTGGCTTATAAGTTATTAAGTTTGATCCCTTGATAGTTCGCACAATTCTGTATGTGTTCTTTGTTCTTGTAAATCAGTATCACAATACTTTTCCTCCATTCGTTTGGCGTTTTCTTTGTTCTCAGCACCTTGTTGAACAACTTGGTCAGCCAGTCAATGCCAATCTCCCCCATGCACTTTCAAACCTCAATCGGAATACCATCTGGTCCTAAAGCATTTCCCATCTTCATCCTCTTCAAAGCTTCTTTCACTTCCAATATACTAGTCTTACTAATGTATTTATGACCTCTGTCCTCATTTATGCCAATGATTTCTTCTACAACTATATTCTCATTGTGTTCGTCATTTAATAATCTTTGAAAATAAACACTGTACTTGTCATTGACCTCTTCATCCTTCACCAAGACCTTTGATCCTCACTCTAGACTTTCTCTCTCTTTTTTACTAATTTGAAGTCATCTTTTCTTGTTCCCAGTAAATGCATTGGAAGACCGAATATCTTGTAGAGTATATACACACATCAATTGTAAATATTATGACCAAGGCTCTCACTAGTAAGAAACTCTCTCATGACATAGACAAGCTTCCAATCATACCATGATGGCTTAAGGGATAAGGGTGAGAAATGACCCAATCCGGATCCGAAACCCAGATTTCGGACCCTATTCGGATTTGAGAATAGACCCAAAATTTGGATCAAAAATCTGGATCCGGATCCAAAAGTCAAGTCCGAAATTGAAATTAGGATCAGATCCGGGTACAGGTGGATCTGACCTGGATGCAGATCCAGATCCAACTTGGCCTTTTTTAAATAGTAAATTTTTATTTTATATATATATAATTTTTTTAAATAGTATATATCTAGAATAATCTGGATCTAGATCCGGATCTAAATATCCAGGATCTAGTTTGGACTCGGATCCGGATCTGGTCGGATCCGACCCCGATCTGACCCATTCTCACCCCTATTAAGGGGGAGTGTTAGCATACATGCATGTGATGAAATATGTAGAAGCTATTGTTTGGCATTGTATGACTTCTTTAAAGGGTCTTATTTTACGTTCTCACAATGGGCTCCATTTTGTATCCAAAAGTGGTGAAATGAAAGTGACAAGACTATACCGTTCTTCCCTAAAAATTTGAGAAGATGTCAAATTGAGTTCTCGGGTTTTTGAAAGTAGTTGGCCTATTTATATGAAGAAGGAAAGTATAAAGAAAACTTCATGAGCAAAGAGATTCAAGGCATTAGATAGATAGAGAATAAATTTCTAGAGAGAAAAAATCTTGGAAGTGGACATTGTCACACCTTCTGAAAGCCAATCTTAGGGTTTGTATTTTGTACTGAAATTTCACAGACACAATTGAATCTCTTATTTTAGGGAATGCCTCTTCAAAATAAAACAATATAGGGCTTTTGCTTCTTGCAGGTAGGGAGTTGAATCTTCTTGAGAATCCGGTTTAAAGTTCTAAACAATGGATAGAGAGGGAGAGATATTTCATTCTTCTTGGTAGAGGATTGATGATAGAAATGGAGGGTTGGATATTCAGTTGTTGCTACTTTATGGTTTTGTTTCATCCCTGGACATTGATCCCATGTAACGTTTTGGAGAAGAATGAGAAAATTCTCCTTCACTTTATCACTTCGAGAATACATAAAGGAGCCCCATTAACAGTAACAGACAATAACACAATGCCAAAAAATAGCACACATATTTAAATCAAATGTTTTTTAAGTACATTCTAACAGTATGTAACAAAACTATGTGGAATAAAAGAAAGTAAATATGGAATAATGAAATGAAAGGAGCCAATCAAAGGCATCATCCCCTAACTAGATGCTATGCCCTTTCAGGCGATCATATTTTAAGGTATAACTAACCCAAGCTCTAAAACCAACAAAATCTAATGGGTTCACAAATTCAGACATATTCCCATGAGTCTTAATGTAGCGTTGTTGGAAGTTGAGAGTTATTTCTCCATAGATATCCTAGTTCTTTGTTGGATGAAAATCATTCACTTGTTTGTTTCTCTATATCATTATCAGTATATTGTTTTTCATCCATTTGTCTGCTTTTCTATCTCCAATATTTGCAAGGATTTTGTACTGTTTGGGCCAAAGTCCCCAGCCAACTTTTAAGCCATTAACCCAAGTTTTAATTTCCAAATCTAGCTTTTCCTTTCCTTGTAGTTTTATTGTACATTTTGCCCATCAAATACTAACAATAAAATAAAAAATAAACCATGGCTCCACATTTCAATTCCAGGCTAACTGCACAAGCTTAGATCTCAAATAAATATATATAAACAAATAACAAGTAGTAATATGGAGGCACCTGATCCTTCTCAAGAAGAGCATCCCACTTGTATTCCTCGAGCAGTTTCCTCGTCTCCATATAGCTCAAGGCGATTCGGTAGTTCAAGTCCCCGAACCATATGACACGACTACTCATCCAATATTTATCCAACAAATCAAAAAAGGAAACTTAATCATGGTTGCAAAAATACCCATAACACAAAGCTTGCATAGAGACCTGATTATTTAAATAGCTATCCAAAATATAGACACACATTTGAAATCAGCAAATATAATCAGGGGGAAGGAATAGAAACAATGTTATGTCTTTGCTGAGACGTATCTTTGACAAAACTTTAAAACATCCCAACTTTTCATATACGAGCAGTATTGATTTTCCTATTTCTATTTTTTTGGTGGAGTGGTGGGGATAGGTTAGCGGAGCTTGGGTTCATACCTATAACCTGAAGGTGCAGCAAGTGCCTTGCAGTTGAGTTATGGCTTCAACCATTGTAATTGAAGCTAAGGCTGGGTAGTTACCTCCAAATTATATTAATGAACACTAAAATTTTCCCATGAGAATTGATTTATAGTTAACTTAAAAGCAATAGTTTGAAACTTTAAGGAGTTTTAGGACTCCACACGATGCCAAGCCGTATCATATCGAGATGACTCTTCATAAGATTCGGCTGAGTCTCTTAGGAAGGAGTTGGTCGGATATAAAACAGCCAATATATGGGAGGATTCAGAGGTAAAGTATCCAATATTCCTTCTGGGTGTAGTACGACATACTCATATTGGTCATCCACCATCTATACATATCAATGGATGTGGAGGTGAGACTTTGTCCAAGCTTTTAGCCTGTCATGTTTGTCTGCAGATCCCCAAATAGTTGGGAGAAGGCTTAGATGATGAAGATGTTTGTTGGCAGACCAGCTGCTCTTCTCCACCATCCGTTGATATGTATGAATGGTCTATGTCCGGGATGACTACATTACACTACATTCTACAAGTATATAGTATAAAATCCTGATTATAAATCCTTATAATCCCATATCACCAAGGATTCCGTCACTCTGCACCAGAAGCTTCAATGTCCATGGTTATCTAAAGATGGTCATTGAATAATGAGAAAATACAAGTCCCATAAAATCCTTCATACCGAGATTTCATTCTTTCTTGTTATTGGGCCTTATTATTCGTTCATATTTTCATTGTCATTTATCTAATTTTGGCATCCAACTCACTTTGTCAACTTTTGTTTATATCTTTTTTCCGTTCAGATACCAAATTCTATCATTAGTTTTTTAGCAAAGCACATCACAAGAGGACCAATTCTAACCTACATTGAACGATACAGAGTTCATGAAGTACACCCTCAAGCTTCTTGCACTTGTAACCATAGTTTCTCTATGTCATGAGCTAGTAGGTATGACTATCCAACCTGAAATCTAGTTGAAGAGATCAATACAACAAGGGTAAAGCAATTAATCCCTCTTTTTCCCATGTTTAAGCTTTTGCACACGTCTCTTGTTTTTCAGATTTCAGAAACACTTGTGGAACTATAACTATTAAAACAATACATCTGAAAGAAGAAAGAGTTCTAGTTTCAAAATTGTGGGGAAATCTTTTTTTTTTTGGGTTAAAAATGTGGGAAAGTTTGTCTTTCCAAGTTGCATATTATTTTCTTAAAGGGTAGGGCTTAGGTGCATCCAGGGGCACACCTATTGCAATGAGTCTGCCCTTCCAAAGTCCATCTCCAAGATGGATCCAAGTTCCAAAATTTTAGAGGTTTATCAGCTCAACCCACTAGTACCATGAATCTGGAAAAAAGTGAATTTTGAGCCTTAAAAATGGTCTATTTTCTTCCTCTCTTTTTTTTGACTGTATAACCCAACTCCTCAACGATCATCAGATCTTTTGGAGCTCCAAATTCATGGATCTGAGATGGAAATGCTTTTATAGTGAGTTGGGATGTGTTTCGGGTTTCCTAAATCCCTTGAAAATGAGGGCAGACAAATGAATCAGCTGACTCACCAAAACTTTGCCATTCATCTGGGCATTGAAGAGAAACACACATAGGTGAAAGCAAAAATTTAGCTGAACAAAGAAAAAGCCAAAGAAGGAAGAACTATGGAGAAAGAGATGATTACTCGTGCTGGAGAATTTTCTCAGGAATCCTATGCCCAGGAACCTTGCATATCTTTGGGAATTGGGTATTTTTAAGTATCTCTATTACATCAGAGTTCCTCCTAAGTTCATCCCCATCCTTCTCCCCAGAAGCCAAATGACTACACACGAAACAAAAGCTGGTCTGATACAAAGACATGCTCACAGATATACACCCCTGGAAACAGAAGATAACAATCAAAACAAGTAGAAAGAGATACCACTTTCAGAAAAAATGTAAAACAAAGTAGAACAAAAGAAAATGAAACTAAACCCAATAGCATAGGTAGTTTGTATGCATAAGTAGAGAGGAAGTTATCCTATGTAAGAAACTAAAACCTGAAAGTGTAAGATAAGAAATTTACTTAATAGAACAAAACAAGGAGAACAGCAAGATACAAAAACATAATTCATGTGTATTTTAAAAGAAATTTTCTGCATGATAACCGACAGAGAACATTTCACCTGTCTTGCATGTGTTGTGTACGATTATATCAAGGCTGCTATTTCTGCATAAGGACACAAATTTTCTAATCTATCCAACCAAAATACTATGCCCTTCATCAAACTCAACTCTGTTGTGGTTCGTGCATACACACAGGCTTGGCAAGGAACTCATTTCTTGAGGACAAATACTCATTGACAAGGTTCACCCTTTGAAACAAAAGAGCACTTAGAAATGGGAATAAATGGAAATATATAGTAATGTTTGGAAATCAAGGGATACCAAGAAAATAGTAAACTAAAATGGATGTGAGATAAGACAATTATGAGTCCCATTGCACTCCTGCGCAAACTCCAGGCCATGACGGTTGGCAATAACTTGTAGTGGAAAAATTCTAATCATAAGATGTACATGTAACATTCTATGGACAAATATATTTCTCAGAGAGGCTACTAAAATGTAAAATACCGTCACAGGCCCTCTCCCCACCAAATCAGGGGCGATGTACCTCTTGAGTAAAATTTGACGATTTCATCTGAAAATTACCCATAGATCTTCCAACCAAGTTAAGTTTGTTCCTCCTCATACAGCCACCTTGCAGAATTGTGCTCTTTACATTTTTGGGGTCTTTACCAACCATAGTTAACCATATCCTAACCACCTGTTTTAACGAAGTTTCAATCGAAATGTTCCTTCAACTCAATGGTTCCATACCTACTAGAGTGGTCGCCTTATCCCTCCAACTGAAGCCCTCATTGGGGCATTGAGTTACATTTTTGTATTAACAATTTGTGGAAAAAAAAAAGGTATTACATTTCCTATTAAATTAAACAACTGTTCCATAAAATCTAAATCTCTCTAAGCCTCTGTAACTTCTTTCAATCAAGTGGTCCCTTTTCAGTGGGGCATCCCCCCAGACAAGGGGGTAACATGTACTGTAGGAAAGAGCTTGAAGCCTTAAACGAAGTGGATATTTGAGCATACCTAAAGGGAAAAGGCATTGTGAGTATTGTTATGTCTGCAAGGCCAAAGTGAATGCAGATGGTCCATTGCATTGGAATGACAAATTAGGCCTGTAGCCAAGGACCATGCCAGTATGGCAGTAACTTGGAGGAGACCATAGCACCTATTGCCAAAATGAAAGCCTAATGATGAGTAAGTTGGTGATTGTAATCAACAACTGGTTTCTGTGTAACTTTTTAAATATGGTTTCTAGGTCAAAGCTACTTTATTTAAAAAAACATCTTGGTTGCATCAAGAATGGGAGTAAACACAATGAGTTGATGAACTTGACGAATGGATTTCCTCCTCAAAAAAACACAATGATTTCTCCTAGTTCAGAGGAAAACATGATTCAGAAACCCCGTCCAAGAGTGAGAATAACACAGATTTTGATAATGATAGCAAGGAAGGAAGCACTAAGGATGTTGGTGACTTAGCGTAGGACAAAAACAAACTTAAACTTCTAGGCTGCATCAGACAGGCAAGAACATTAAAAAAAGTTCGGTTAAGTGTCTCCCTTACCTTAAGGGAAATGCGCAAAATTGCTTCTCTAGTCCTTAGATAAGTGACTGTAAAACATTTTTCAAGCAGTTAGACACACATTAACGATGACAAAAATAATTTTCCTGCGATCACAATTGTTGGAAGAATTAAGTTTTCTAACCATTCTACTTCCAAGCTTAGCAAGAGCAATAGAGTGTGTGTGGTTTACTTCCAAGATAACCCATGAAAACAGAAACAGATAAAGAGGTATGTATCTTCTACAGTATATAACAGAGAGAAAGAAAGAAATGCATGACGCATAGTAGAACGACAGATATAACCCAAATAGTATAAAAAGAAAACAAATCGAAAAGAGAGAAATTACCTTGTTTCCTAGGCAGCCCATGATCCCACGCCCCATGCAAGACACTCTCAAGTGGGTAATATGCTGCACCAATTCCTTCCTCACCCAAACACTAACAAATATCCCCACCATCTGCTTGCTTGCTATTAGATAATAACCATTGTTGTTATTGTTATTTACCACATTCATTTCTCTCTCTAAAAATCCATTCCCATCCAATTCCTCCTCTTCTGTGAAGGAGTTATCATCCTTAGCAGAAGCTTGCTGACATCTAAAACATGTATCAACCTTCCTCTTCTCTGCCTCATGAGAGCTGTTGCAGGTCTTGAGGTGCTTTCCACACTCTGGTGATCTAAAGTTTTTGCTTACAGCCTTTAGAGAGGTTTTCTGGAAGAAGAGCAATCCACTAGTGGTTCTTGCATTGTAGGGTCTATGACCTGCATCAACTAATGGTGGTTTGTTCAGGGCTTGGTTAATGAGATGCAACCACTTTGCAGCTGGTTCGTTGTCCTCTATAACCAGCACATTGCCCGCATTCAAAGGAACTATTTCCTGGAACCTGAAGAAACAAAAAGCAGAATAAAGGAATATGAGAGAGAGAGAGAGAGAGAGAGAGAGAGAGAAGAGTCCATTCATACTGCTCAATTCAGAAAAGGTGGGGGGGTGGGGGAAGGAATTGCTAAGCCTGGAGAGTGCCTACAGTGAACACATTCAGTTGTGCTTACCCAGAACCACAGCAGGAAAAGAATAATAGTGAGAAGTAGAGAAGAAAGAGAGACGCACAAATACTAAAGAAATAATTAGTATAAAGAGGAAAATATAAACATTCACACTAAGCCACCACCAAAGAGAGAGGTCCGGTTATAATTGGAGAGAAAGGAAACAAACCAGTTGTACCCGTCAGGATGCGTGATACTGTGCTTAGTGGCTCCAAAGTTCAGAGCTTTGTATAAAATTGGCTAAAAGAAATTAAGACAATGTTCACAATGGGGATGAAATTATTGAAAACATTATGCTGCAATCTCAATACCGACTTTGGGTAGTCAGTTCCCAAAATATTGTCAGAACAATAATCAACAAAATATTACTGCAAAGAGAAAAACATGTACAAAACTAATATCCATTGTTCCAATTTTTGGGTGAAGGTTTTATATTTTAGTTTGAAACAACAATATTTCAGGAAGGTATCAATGGAAAGTAAAAAGTTTTGGCAAGGTTTTATGTTGGCTGCCTACCTAACACAACCCACCTCTTTTACCCGGGCTTGAGACGGGTTAAGGAAAGTTTAAGGTTCTCACCCTTCTTAGACCATTCAAGAAGATATCAATATCAACTAAATACCCAATAGACAGGAGAACAAGCAATAAACCATATCTATCTATAAAGCATTAAAGAACTAAAATCCATAGATGTGACGGGATGTAGGATGATGATCATGAATTGAAATTTCACGCAGCATTTTTCCTTTTTAGCTACATATGAAAAAACAATGGCGCAACAACGTATCCACTAATTCAAAAGTTAATATAGCAGCAGAACAAATATTTTGAACTAAAAATGGATTAAGATTTGGAAAGCCATCCAAATTTTCCAGTTAAAACACAGAACATAAAACCAATTGTTGATAATTAGAGCATGAATCCTGCCTCCAAAAACCAAAAACTGTTCAAACTTTGCCAAACTTTAAAACATTGTTTGAGATATCGCTACCAAGCCTATGATACCTATCAATATTTAGAAAATAAGGATTGTTTTGAGTGTTTAACAAAAGTCACCAAGCTAAGTTAACCACAAAAGTCAGGGAAATTTAAGTAACTTCTTCAGCATAATTTAAATAAATCATCTCAAAAAAAAATTGATGAAAGAGAGCATACCCAAGAACATATATATCAGCTGGTTCATCAACTCTCAGAAAACTGTCTAGACTAAACCCATTGTGTGGGGGCTTTCCTCCCACATTCCATGTAACCACAAAGATCCTGGAAATAGAATACGAACATAAAAATTCATAATTTTATCAGAGATAGAGATGCGAAGGGCTAAAGATACTCAGAAGAGAGAGAGAGAGAGAGAGAGAGAGAGAGAGAGAGGAGGAGAGAGAGACCGACGAACGAGACG